TAGTAGTACAGCGGGCTGTATCCGCATCTCGACACCATGTGCCTATTTTGCGTAAGGAATGGCATCAGCCCTGCCATCCCAGCTCTTCCAGAAAGCCCAGCAGTCACCAGATGTAGCTTCTATTAGTGTCCATGGATTTTCCAGTCCTTTCCTTCCTTTTCCAGTGAAGCCCTTGTCCAGCAACGCCTCTACACTCCAGCAGAACATGGGCGCTCGTCTCTTCCTCCTGCAGACAGACTCTGCACAAAGGGCTGTCAGAAATACCTATATTACAAAGGTATTTATTGAAATAGCCGTGACCCGTGAGTATACCCACAATTTGTTTCAAGGCCTGTCTAGTTAGTCTAATTAACTTATGTGATAACTACAGGTCTCCCTTAGGAACGGCTTCCCTTGCTTGCTTGCAGTCCGTGAGTTCTGTGAAGTATAAATCATGTTCTCGTTGACTGCGCTCCCATCTCTAGGTCCTCAGCTGTCAAAAAGGTACGGGTTAAATGGGCTCTGGACCAATATCTGTTCTGCTGGAACCTTCCCTGGCTAGGCAGTCCGCCGCATCATTGCCCCTTTAGCCACTGTGTCCTTTAATCCATTGTAAGATCAGCATATTATCGTTGTTTAAGTAAGTCAACTTACAGTGACATTCGTAGATTAGGCCGGATGTCATTTTATTGTTGTCCACTGCCTGCAGGACAGGCGCGCTTTCAGGTACGAAGCCCTAAAAATATAATGATCTACACATCTTGTCTCCACCCACCACTAACACTTAACATCGTTCAGGTGAACATTAATCGATTTTTTGAAAAATAAGTACCTATAAACGTTGACTCCGTTCCATTTCGTAAAACAATTAATAGTTATAGTTACATTGAGAAAAAGGTTGCTCCCGCCCGCCCACACGCAGCTACATTCCGCAAAGAGAAGTGTAATTTGAAACTCGCATTCTACTCAATATATTATGTATATTGAGGCACGAAAACAAAAGGTAATAACAATTATAGTATTTGCACGGTTTTCTAAATTAGTGATATGATTTTGGTACACGTCTATTTCTGACTACTTTTAGAGTGGTCGCCTAGCAGACTTTACCGTTAAAGCCAGTTTTCTACTAAGATACCTAATTAAAAAAGTACAGGATTACCGGGTTTCTCTAATACAGACATATATTTAAAACTACCTAAAACTAATATATCTTTAAGAAAAAAAGGTTCAACTGCTCAAATTGGAGCGCCTGTCTGGGAAAGTAACCTCCACCTTAAAGAAGACCTTTTGGTGGTGTGTTCTTGTTGGTGAGTAAGGTTCCAGGGCTCCACGGGGTAGGGGATTGGGTCAGGATAGGCAACGGCGAAAGTGATATTTCTAGTATCACGCTTATCATCAGGCGAGCCATATGCTTGTTTACGCCGTCTTTTAACATAAAAAGTTAATATCTCTTCAAACAATAAGACGTATAATCTGCTTTGACATAGTTTTAAAAAATATTATAAACTTAATGAATATTTATTCTGTTAGGACTCCTCATAGATTTAACCATATATTTCAGTCCAGTGCCCCGAGTTCATTACAGTAGCTAAAGCTATACGCTAAGAGTACACTTGCTTGAGGTGCCTTCATCACCGAATCGGTGCGGTATCGTGTCGCTTTCGTTTCTGAACAGATGCTTTACAGAGTGTATATAATTAAATGAGAGATTCCTTACTCAGTAGTTTTAGTACAGAATCTTTACCGAGGGGATACACAGTACCCTTAGCACGAACCAATATCGAATTCGTAACATTTGCGAGTACGAAATGTCATTGTCAAATGGGTACTGATTTTTAGATTTCGTTACGTCCATGATGGCGCTGTTGTTCAAGTTTCTACCTATCTCTTCTATCTGTTATGCAAAATTTGACAATGACATTTCGGACTCGCAAACTATTCGAATTCGATAATGGTTCATGCTAGGGGTACAGCTTTCTATACCGAGTGCTTCCGAATGCTACCGAACCGAAACCAACCCGCTCAAGCTGTGGTTCTCGGTAGGATCTGTAAAGATTCATTACAGAAACGAAAACGAAACGAGCCCGCACCGACCCGTTGAGGCAGGCGTCTAACCCGTCGTTCCCCCAAAAGAAATACATCATCATCAGCCCATTAATGACCCCACTGCTGGGGCACAGGCCTTCCCTATGAGTGTTCATAGCTATTTTTAATTTAATTAATTTTTATAAATTTTCTTTCATCACCTTCACTCTTTTGATAACCGAATGAGTTTTATCTCAATTGATAGTTTTTCAGATCGGTGTAGTTACCTATATTGATATACCTATTCACATCTGCTTGCCAGGTAGCCATGTACAGAAATAAGCAGGCAAGCCTTCCTTAGCATATTCTGTGTGTTAAAAACTATCAGTTAAGATAAAACTTATTCGGTTATCAAAAGAGTGAAGGCGATAAAAGAAAATTGAATAAAATTAATTAAATTAAAAATAGCTATGAACACTTCTCGATAGGTAAGTTATCATATGCATATTTGTTTATAAATTATATTCGATATGAAATATGTCTCATCGAGTTATAAGATCGGTGAAGGTCTACCTCCCACCGGCTCTTAGACTATTTGTGTAACACTTGTTTCTTGGTATAAACGAGGGGTAAGAGTATCCGTTGCGTGATTGTCGATTGTTTTACTCTACTTGTAACATAGCGCGAATTTGTAATATAAATCTTGCGCCATTTCAAGCTTCCCTGCGAGATGGTAAAAGAAAAACATTAAATGCGCTACCTGCTAAGTTTTCCAAGTCGACAGTAAAAGTCTATCAAGGATCTGTGGTAACTTAATCATTAGTTACATCCACAGGCGAGCCCCTCTAATTTGAGTGGAACATTCACTATGTCCTACCTTATTATTCACGTGTAAACCGGTTTTGTAAGAATATACTTAGTTTTATAAATTATTCCATTATTTAAATAACAATGCTTTGTTTCGTTACTACGTAATAAAACACAAACAAACGCACGCGAAGTTAGAATTTAATCCATTATCAAATTGTCCTATTTTTGTACATAGATCATTAATGTAAATCGGTATACTGAATACAAGATATTTTTCCTAAAATGTTATTATGGAAAAATATCTTTCGTTGAATATCTTTCATCTTGCAACCCTTTTATAAGTACCTATCTAAGTATAACAGATTTATCAATGGACTGAAAAAGGAAGATACAAACACAAAAAAACTAACTAAGGCCGCGTTGTTTCAAACGTAGTTAAATTTGACTACTTATAGTTAATGTCACGTCAAACACAATAGTAAACGAGTATTTGGACGACCTCCGTGGCCAGTTCTACGCCAGGTTTCATGGTGTCATGATCGGTGGGGGCAGACGTTAGTGTGATGAATACGAGCATTTGTACTCCAGTCATGGATGTATAATATGTATTTCTATATAAATATACTTATATATGTACAGTATATGTATTCTATCCGTTACCCTAGTATCCGATAACACAAGCCTTACAGTGCCTACTTTGGGGCTAGGCTAATTGGGGTGTGTTGTTTTTTTTTTATTTATTTTTTTATGTAACAAGGGTGGTAATGAACCGTATGACCCACCTGATGGTATGGAATGATGATGGTACGCCTTCATAGCATATAGACGCATGTTATACCAAAACCACTGGCGCCGTTGCTTACCCAAACCCAATCCCCTACCCCGTTGAGCTCTGGAATCTTACTCAACGACAGAAACACAACCAGAAAAAGGTAGTGTTCTTCCTTCTTCCTTCAATTTTACTGTGACCTTCTGTAAGATGAAGATTACTTCCCCAGACGGGCGTTCCAATTCGAACGGAAAACCCGCTACGCCCTACCTCTCTCATATTTCGACAAATTGTCTTTTTTTCCTCTAGCAATTTAACTATAGTCATTTCAACTAGTTTTAAACAACGCGGCCTAAATCATTGAGCATTTCTGAGAGTGAAATAACCCTTTGACCCTTAGTGCTCTTGTGGATACCCACCTCCAGCACCGAATCTTCTCCTACCTTACTTTAATTTTTAGTTTATTTAATTGTTTCTATTATTTAATAAACTAATAAAACCCTTTGAATTTGTAAATAAACTTGTTTTAATAAATTAGGCTGCGTTTTAATAAAGCGACATTTATATTTAATACTATCGCAGATTCCTGGAATACTGACGCGGATGCTACCAATGTCAACATTAATTTTGCCAAGGGAATTAAGATAAACAAAGTACAAAGTAATAGCGTCAGACCAATGAAGACAGCTCTTAAAAAGTTTAAGGACTCCCCGTTCATTTGAATTTGATCCTTAGGCGATAGCATTTTACAGTACATATTTTTAAAGAAGGCATTTATGAGATGGACTTTCATGTCTATCATATGTAGAAACAAAGCATGTTCGTGATATGTTATTGTTTAATCCCAATTAAGCACGACTACAAGCGTTCCCTGCCATGTCTCATTACGTAACACCCACATACCGAAGCGGATTGATTTTTGTTAGGCACCAAAGTTTCCACTACGCATGCGCCAATGTCACCACTCACACGCCCCAACAAAAGTAAAGCACACAAGCGCAACCCTTACGATCGGTAACTCACGACTTTGAACCGTACCATCTCAAAGTTAAAGCACATTTAAGCGTTGTCGAGAACGCTATGATATTTTTAGACAATACGTGCCTATTATGTGGTGTACAAACGCGCCCTCTTTCATACAAATCGGGAAACTGACCGAGAGAAGGTTTTCGCCTCAATTTATCTTCCGAAAATCCACGTTCTGGAGCACCGAGCGGGCTTCTTTTCGCAAGAATTCGTGTCGAGTGTTCAGATTTGGTGTTCACAAGCGTTTTTAAGTGTTTCGGGAGATCGATTCTGATAGGTGTTACTAAAAATAGACCTCCCGATATATACTTGTAGGGTAATCCAGTTGCGAGGTTTCCATTCATAAAATACATTCATTTGGTGTCGGACAGTGTTGCAGCAGAGTTGGAAGTTCTATTCTGTATTGAGTGGAGGAGTGAAGTCTGTGTCGCCTGATCGATCCGTGGGGGTGACTGTATCAGTCGAGGCACCGAGTCCACAGGCACAGCGACAGAAAAATGTGAGTTATACCTCCAAATGTAATTGTAGCAGTTTCAGTTTTAGAAAATCGGTAACACTTTTGTTTTAAACGAGAACGGAAGCTTATGATTTTCGGAAACTTTAGTATTTATAACTAAATATAAGATTATGGGGACAATAAAATAGTAATTGCAGCATGGAAAGTATAGTTTTAGTTAAATTATTTTTTTTATATTGACATAATTTTCTTTTTTATTTGTTTTGTCTTTTCTACTAATATCTATAAGGTGTTCTTTTAAGATCTCCGTTTAAATATGTCATTAGAAGAAATACGATCTCCTGGATCTATTGTCATTCATACGTGCAAGTATATTGATTCAAACCATAACTAATGAAATGTATTTCATGATGATATGAAAAAACTGGTAAACCGAACCTGAATTTCACCGCTAAAGTTGACTGAACTCATTCGTCATCGACCCATCCCTTAAATGTGACTCATCACTGGAAACTAAAACAAAGGATTATTCTCATTCCGTTTTGGATTAAAATGACTAATTTTAAATCGAGGTTGGATTAAAAACTTTAATCGAAATATCTAAACTTTAAGCCATTAAGTTTTCTTAAATAGATTTATCAAAAGAATACATTTAGTTGTTTAATTTTTAAAATAAAAGAATATGAAGTAATTGTTTGCATTTTTATGTTTTCAATTATTACATTTTGTCCTTTAAACCATCTATAGTAGTTTGCAACACTGTGCGTTTGGCTGGTAGGAATTTTACCCTTTAATACTTCCAAAGATATTGACTAAGGCCCACTTGCCACAAATTTGTTAAATCTCTATTTAACTAAAACTAGATTCGATCATACAAAAATAACAAATGTTTAAATCTAGATTTAACAAATTTGCTTATTTTTTTTTAGCTATTTAATATAAGTACTGTTTGTGCGTGTAATTTTTTTGTATTTAAATGTATTTGGTGGTAAGGTAGTGCCCCTGCCAAGACGTCAGGCGACCAATCCTATCTCGAAGCGTTTCGCCGTTTTTTGAACCGTTATAACTTGGGTTTGTATTATACCAAATAAACAAAATTCTCTTGATATGTTGTCAATAGCAGTCTTAAACATATTTAAGTTTAAATGGCATAGGTCTTATACTTAGGATTATGAAAACACCTGATTTCATCACCCACTCACTGACGATCATAGGGTAGGTATTACTTAATGTCCTAAAAACTTGAAATTTGTTTTGTCAGCATGTATTAGTAATCATACAACAAATAAATGTATGAAACTTGTATCTTTGTATCCCCGAACCCCTTAAACTAGGAGATGGAAATTTGTATGAGACTTCCGCAATTTTAATGCTAGAGGTCTGAAAATTGATATTGGGGCTCCTTGTTAAATGTAAGCAACTTACAAAAAGGAAATGAAATGGAAGAACAGTTTTTTCTTTAAGCACTTTCATGTCGTTGTTATACGATATATATATATATGTTAGAGATATAAGTGTTATATCTTCTTGGCACTGTTTCTTTATATTTAAAAGGAAAAGCGAAAGAGATAGCATAATACAATTAGGCTCTTAGTTCCCCTTAATTGCTTTAAGTGTCGTATTTAAATTGTCATATTCTTTTAATATTAAAGTAGGCATATTTAAGTAGCTAAAAAAAAATCATTTTATAGTACCTTCATTTTATATTATTAGTACTATACAACCAGATAAGACAACAAAGCCTGCCTGCCGACCATCCTGCGCTTGCACTTACTGAGACACCTCAAAACGGTTTACGGGGGTTGAAGGACTTGCAGTTGCAAATAGTCGACTCGTCTTACCTCGTCTTACTTCGATGTGATTGTGCCTGTCACTTTTTGATTGGTTTTTATCTAAGACGCTTTGGACATTGAAACACGATTATCGGTTTTGTCAATTAGTATGGATGAACTGGAATTATGTTTTCGTGGACCAGTTTGTGTGATTTGTGATCGCTCCGTTTTACATAGAAGACTATAATGAATAGAATGTTTAAAAAAATCCCAACCCTAGCGGGGATTTTTGGATTTACTCTAGCGCTGCAGAATAACATAAGGGGACACCCTTGCACCTTGTGAAGTACGCCTAATACCTGAGCCCCCTATGTAGGGTCTAACTATCTAACTTAATTAATTCCCTTGTTTCATTAATATCCGTTCGTTATTACTTGTACCTATTTAACTTAAAATTACTTAAGACTCCCGGGATGGAATTTGATGCGCTTTGGCACAGATGATCAGTAATACAGACCTTTCAAACAAATGTAGTTTAAGCCGTGCGGACATGGATGCAGCGTCCATACATTTTTGCCCAATGTCCTTCAATGTAAAAAAAAGATACAGCATGTTACATCAAATTTGTATGGAACCCTCGGTGGGCGAGTCCGACTCGCACATGTCCGGATTTTTCCTATTGCTACATATTTTCATTAAAATCGGTTCAGTAGTTTAGGCTTGAAAGCTTAACATACAAGAAGGTACTTCAATTATTTTACACCTATTATCACAGGTGCTTATAGTTATGTGTTATGCTCCTCGTGTTATCTAAACACAAACTAGATTATTGTTATGTACACATCGACCCATAAGATCTTAGGTAGAGTTTGGATTATCTATGAAAATGTAAAAATATGAAAAAAAGTTAATAAGTAAGGATAAATTGAAGAGCTCCGTTAAATTGGTAATAGGGATATGAAATGACAAGAAACTTTATACGTGTTAAATGTTAAGCATTCGTAAATTAAAGCTAGCAGCGCTAAAGTTGTGAGTCCCCTTGGATATTAATGACATTTTAATTTGGAACGCCAAAATGGCAACAAAAACATCTATCAAAAATACTCGTAGTTTCGAAAAACAACAGAACAACAAAATATTAACCAAAATGAAAATTGTTGTATGACGAAGCGACTTTAGTTTAATAGGGTATTTGACAGTATTAAAAATAAAGTGCCAATTGTTAGCATCTGTGTTTAGAATGAATATTGGCAGGGGTATTTACTATTTTTACAAAAAAAATATATTCATAATTTTACTTAAACCCATGAAAAAGATAATAGTTTTCTTATCTATTGTCACGTGACCCAAGACGCTTGGAATTGGCGGAGCCTAAAATGACGTCACAAGTAGCAAGTAAACTTCCGGTTAAAGTGACATTACATTGTATCGTTTGACGTTTTAATAACAGTCGTGTGACTTCATACACTAGTAAGACGTCATATTGTCCAGAGAAACGTTTTCGGGGCAACTTGAAAATCTAGTTTTTGACATGGTTACTTTTACTGAAATACTCAACAGAATGATGAATATCCACTTTTTACGGACACCTTAAACATTAGTCAATAACGTGAGATCGTTTTCTAAAACTTGTCAAATACCCTATTTATCAATAGGCATAATAGTTGCCATTATGTAAATGGAGAAGTTTAAACTGCGTCGTTGTTAGAAAACTGTTATTTTTAATTGATCTTGAAAATACTAAATACACTAACGCAATCATTTGCCGTTTTCACGACGCATCTAACCAAACAATAGTCACATTTCCGATCATGTTCTGAAATGTTACTATTGCTTTGCCCGACTTGTCGTGAAAATGGAAAATGTTCGCGTTAGCGCAACAGTGTGGCCGTAGAATAACTATTAAAAACTTTTGCGTATTTGTAGTGGTGAATACAAACATTTGCATCTACATAATTATGTCATGATTGTTTACATTTCTACAAAAAAAATACCTTTTTAAGTAACATTATAATATTTCTATCCGTTACCTAGGTTAGGCTATTGGTATGAGTGTTAGAAATATTTAATTTTATTTAATTAATTGATTGCCAAGGTACTGAATCCGCTTCAGGTTACAAGTAATAACCATTTTAAAAAAATACAGTTTTCTAACAACGGCACAGTTAAAAAGTCTCCATTTACATAATGGTAATTATTATGCCTGTTGATTAATTAAACTAAAGTCGCTTTGTCAGAAACAAGAAAGTTCTTATAAATACTCTAGCACTTTTCAATTAAAATCTTGGGCAAGCGCTAAATTGGTAAGTTTTATTGAAAGTCTTAGCTAAACTTTTCTACTTTCTGGTGTCATTTGCTCTACTAAAGGTCAGTTTAATCATTTATGGCTAGTTATAGGCCATAATATTCGTTGTTTCATGATTTTCAGAATTTCACTACAATGATTTTTGTTATTGACGGCTGGCCTTACACAGTCTGAATCATAATTTAAAATATGAATTCATAATCTGAATTCCGGTGCTTTGACCCACACAAGTCAAAATTTCGTTTGATCCTAAGATTTTATTTATGGTTTGATCAGTTGTCTCGCGTACATCTCTAAATAATTAAAATGTAAAATGTCAAGTGATCAACTGACAAATCCGTCATTTGATTCCGTTTGTGTGTGAAAAGAGGTGCGTTTAAATTTTGTCATACTATGAATTCATAACGTTTGTCAGTTTCATTCTGTAAGATCAATCTGACACATTCATAATCTGAAATAAATAGAATGTGTTTGAAAAGTAGTTAAATTGTACGCAATTCCGTGTGCTCTGATTTAATAATACGAATGCATATTATGAATCCAGATTCTGATTTAGGCTGTGTAAGACCAGCTTAAGTCAACAAGGTACTTCAAAACTTTCAAACTAAGTTTCCCATCCCAACATCAATTACTGAGCTTGTTCACAACGACCCATTCCTATGTGATTAAGCTTATTAAAGGATACCAACTTCAAAGGTTTAAGCAAGCCCCATTATGTTATGTCCGTTACGCATTATAAGTTTAATGGAGAATGTTAGAATACCGCTACGAATTTACAATTAAAATTGAATAATATTTAAAAATGTTCTTGTAAGTTTAGAACTATTATAAAGTTCTAGTATTTTTTTATGGAATGCTAGGTAAATATTTGGTATTTTAAGTTTAAAATAGAAAAACATGTGCAGTTGCAGACAGTATATTTTAAAGTGAGTAAGTTTCAAATATAAACAAACATTAAAAAGTGT